TCGTCCGGGTTTCAATGATGAGCCATGTGAGATTGATTTTCTTTTTTGTTTTGTTCTATTTTTATAATCTCAAGTTGTCCCACTTGACTATCTTCATTCATTAATCCACATGATTTTGAAATATAGAAACTGGATATGTATTAGTTGTCATCTCATTTAGAAAGCTATATCATGGGATAGATATAGTGAGATACATTTGTCTGATGTGACTAACTATAGACATGTTGTGCGCAAAGCACGCGTTCTTAGGATTCACAAATTTGCCGAGAGAGAAGGCACACAAATCAACTAATAATAGCACAAACTCAAACACCAAAGTTTAACGTGGTCCGGCAAGTTGCCTACGTCCACGGGGCAAGAAGGGGATGAGTTTTTACTATAGAGAAAGAGAATACAAAGTAGAAATTACAAGATCACTCAAAAGCTTACAAATAATCTCTCAAACCAAACTCTCAAATCTCTCACAAAACCCTCAAACTAATTGCTCAGAAAGAACTCTCTTTTCTTGGCTCAAAACTCTCCTTCAAGCTACCCCAAAACTCAATCAATATGATTGATCAACCCTAAACAAATCGTGTTTCTATTTATATTAAATAGAAAACCCAAACAGTGCAGGAAACCGAAGTAGGCCCAGACCCGACTCGTAGTCGACCACAGAGAGATGTACGGCCGACCGAAAACCAATGACAGAAACCAAAAATCACTACAGGATTTGTCTGATCGACCGGACCTGACACTGCGGTCGACCGTAAAAAGTCCAGAGACTTTTCCCTGTGCTGTGCACGTTCGCGGTCAACCGTCGCGCCACGCGGTCGATCGCAAAACAACCAAAATCCGTCCTTCGCCTTTTTACCTGAACTTCTTCGTTGTTGTTCCCAATTCTACAATTATGTTGTGCGCACAACGCGTGTTCTGAGGATCCACAAATTTACCGAGAGAGAAGGCACACAAATTAACTAATAATAGCACAAACTCAAACACCAAAATTTAACGTGGTTCGACAAATTGTCTACGTCCATGAGGCAAGAAGGGGATGAGTTTTCACTATAGAGAAAGAGAATACAAAGTAGAGATTACAAGATCACTCAAAATCTTACAAATAATCTCTCAAACTAAACTCTCAAATCTCTCACAAAACCCTCAAACAAATTGCTCAGAAAGAACTCTCTTTTCTATACTCAAAACTCTCCATCAAGCTACCCCAAAACTTAATCAATATGATTGATCAACCCTAAACAAATCGTGTTTCTATTTATATTAAATAGAAAACCCAAACAGTGCAGGAAACCGAAGTAGGCCCAGACCCGACTCGGTGTTTCTATTTATATTAAATAGAAAACCCAAACAGTGCAGGAAACCGAAGTAGGCCCAGACCCGACTCGTAGTCGACCACAGAGAGATGTACGGCCGACCGAAAACCAATGACAGAAACCAAAAATCACTACAGGATTTGTCTGATCGACCGGACCTGACACTGCGGTCGACCGTAAAAAGTCCAGAGACTTTTCCCTGTGCTGTGCACGTTCGCGGTCAACCGTCGCGCCACGCGGTCGATCGCAAAACAACCAAAATCCGTCCTTCGCCTTTTTACCTGAACTTCTTCGTTGTTGTTCCCAATTCTACAATTATGTTGTGCGCACAACGCGTGTTCTGAGGATCCACAAATTTACCGAGAGAGAAGGCACACAAATTAACTAATAATAGCACAAACTCAAACACCAAAATTTAACGTGGTTCGACAAATTGTCTACGTCCATGAGGCAAGAAGGGGATGAGTTTTCACTATAGAGAAAGAGAATACAAAGTAGAGATTACAAGATCACTCAAAATCTTACAAATAATCTCTCAAACTAAACTCTCAAATCTCTCACAAAACCCTCAAACAAATTGCTCAGAAAGAACTCTCTTTTCTATACTCAAAACTCTCCATCAAGCTACCCCAAAACTTAATCAATATGATTGATCAACCCTAAACAAATCGTGTTTCTATTTATATTAAATAGAAAACCCAAACAGTGCAGGAAACCGAAGTAGGCCCAGACCCGACTCGCGGTCGATCGCAGAGACATGTGCGGTCGACCGAAAACCAACGACAGAAACCAATAATCACTACAGGGTTTGTCCGGTCGACCGGACCTGACACTGCGGTCGACCGTAAAAAGTCCAGAGACTATCCCCTGTGCTGTGCACGTTCGCGGTCGACCACAAGACACCCAAAATCTGTCCTTCGCCTTTTTGCCTGAACTTCTTCGCCGTTGTTCCCAATTCTACAAGACAAGCATCTCCACTAATGCATCTCTTGATATCTCATTCGGCAAAATAAGTTGCGAATTAAAACTTACTAATTTTTCCTTTCGAAATATCACTGATAATTAACGAGGTTTTAATGTTCAGGCAAAGATTGATCCGCTAAAGGATGCTCTTCTATCCGATATATGCATCGGCACATCAGCAGCACCCACATATCTCCCGGCACATCACTTCGAAACAAAAGACACTCAAGGAACCACCAGGAGCTTCCATCTTGTTGATGGAGGATTGGCTGCAAATAATCCGGTACGCTGCCATATCATCACGCAGATCTTCTTTTCAACCTGTTAATATCGTTAGTAATTATAAGTTTCAATAGTTCGTGGTATTTTCTTACAAGTTGGACGCTCTGCTAGTTTTCTTTAATTAAAAAAATGTTTGGTAACCGTGTGGAAAACCCTCCAAAGTTCTTGATATTTTTGTTAAATTAATTTACTCTAAACTAGTGAGATATCTCAAAATTTTAGTACTAGTTACTCCAGCGTCTGAACCTTGTTAAATCTGTATGTCTATCTGCAATTTTCGTTTATCTGTAATTACCTTGTGATTTCTATAAACCAAACTAATTTGTTTTCTACTTGTATTGTCTCCTTAAAAATCAAGCAGACTATGACAGCAATGAGCTGCATAACAAAAGAGATCATTATGCGTAAAAGTGATTTCTTTCCAATCAAACCCACAGACTACGGGAAGTTCCTGGTGATATCTATAGGGACTGGAACAACCAAGGATGAAACTTACTGTGCACCAGAGGCGTCAGGTTGGGGAGTTTTAGGATGGCTTTACAACAAAGGGGCTGGTGGACATGTTTACTCAAGCGAGTGGAGACATGGTCGACATCCATGCCTCCGTTCTCTTTCAGGCTCTCCATTGCGAGAAAAACTATCTTCGGATCCAGGTACAAACTAGTTTATGGATCACTAAGGAGGCGTTATTCATTTGGGATTGTGGATTATGACTAGGACTAAGAGAATTTGTTTGGAAATAATTATATGATAATAGTTATCGGAGTAATGTTATAGTCATTAACGGAACTAAATGGAGAAATTGCATGTAGACCTCTAGTATCATTGTTTTGAACTTACTACCCTGTAGTTCTCGAGAAAGTTTTTTTATTGACCTTTCAGATGAGAGGTTTATTGAAAAACATGTTATGTAGATTTAAGATTTATTATAATTACCTTTTCATTTAAACCTCCATCGGTAATGGTATATAATAACAGTTGATTGTTGCCAAACAGGAAGATACATTGACTGGTGACTTGATTTCAGTGGACATCTCATCAAAGAAGAACTTGTTGGGTCTTGTTGAAGTCGGTAACGCCCTCCTAAAGAAGCAAGTGTCAAGGGTGAACATAGAAACAGGCGTATTTGAGGTAGTTGAAGGAGAGAAAACTAATGAGGAAGAGCTCACACGCTTTGCGAAGTTACTTTCTAATGAACGAAAGCTTCGGCAGTCCAACGTTGCCAAATGATCCATATATTTTTCACGCAACTTTATGGTTTCAATATGTGCTACAATCGAGTTCTGTTGTTGTTTTTAATGATATATGTTGGAAAATAAGTATAAATACATGTTTGTGGTGCACAAGTTCCTAACTAAATTGTTAGGATCATTTCACATCCATTCAGTTTCCACATGAAAAATGGATGGTCTAATCCAGGAAGTAACATCATTTCCTCTCTATGTCATTTAGAATTTACTGAACTTCTGTCAATCTATTTTTGATATATGCCAAATCAAACACAAGTTTGATTAGCACTCGTCTTCATTTCCCTGATCTATAAATTCAAAAGAAAGATTAAGAAAATAAAATAAAACAAACAAAGAAAGGACGTGTTAAATTAATCACTTAATATGGAGATAAGGAGAGGAAAAGTTGCCCTTGGCCCAGACTAAGGAAACACTTGACATTCCTGAAGCTAACCTAACGAAACAAATATTTCTAAAAGTACAATATCCATTTCTCTAACAGAAGTAATATTTATATTCCCCCTTTTGATTGTTATTGTAATGTATATTGTTCCTCAAAATAAATTTCAAAATTGGGGTAACTAGTTGATGCAACGCAGAAGTGATAAACTCGGAATCCACCAAGGATGTTCTCTGAATCTACAAAGAACGATCTTCGAATCCACGAAGAAAACATTAAAAAGAGAAATTTTATTGATGAAAAGTTATTCTCCTTTGGGGTTACATGACTCTTCTTAAATAGAAAAACAAATAAGACTTCTAGTAAGACTAGAATTACAAAAGTAGAAAGTATCAAATAAGACTCATAGTAAAACTAGAATTAAAAAAAAGTGTCAAATTCTATCCTAAAAAGACTCCTTATAATAGAGGAAATAAATCATGAATCAAAATCTAAAAAGACTCCTTATAATAGAGGAAATAAATCATGAATCAAAATTGATTTTGTTTCCTAATCTAATTTAACTCTAAAATTGAATTTATTTCCTAATTGAATCAAAATTGATTTTGTTTCCTAATCTAATTTAACTCTAAAATTGAATTTATTTCCTAATCTAAATAAACTCCAACTCAAATTAAGCGTCCTACATCAGTCTCCCCTTGTTGAAAGAAGCTCGACCCCGAGCTTATATTTGTTAGAATAGTAGCTTCATTGATAAATAATTTTCTTCTCTTGTAATGATCAGCATCCGCCTTGTATTTAGTATTGATTTTCTCAATTTATTCTTTTACCTCCTCTGCTAGGACTTCTTTTGTATTAAACTTGTGTATGAATCTTTTCCATGACAAGTGTATGTAACCAACAGCACGTGGCTCTGTAGTTGACATGAAAAACTCCTCCAAATTTTTTCCTTGTTGCTTCCAATGTTCTAGTGTCGACGGTATCATCTCACCATTGTTAAAATTATTGATGATTATTGCTTCAAAAAAATAAATTTCTTCCTCATACTCCATACACAATTCTTTTATCTCCTTTATCTCAAGCTCTCAACCAAGCAATGCACACATACTATCAATTGTCTTACTCTCTATTTTATCTTTTTCCTCCACCGGGACAATATCAATATGTGTAACATCACTCACAATATCATGTAGAATATTCATCTTCATTAACATATCATCATCAACATCAGGAACCTCAGGATGAATCTTGATGGTGGCAAAATCTTTATTTCCGGGGGTGAGCGTCTTGTTGTTTGCCACTAGAGACAACTACCATTACTTGTAGTTAGAAGGTAAGAAACGATCTCTCAGGGAGCGTTTGGCAACAGTGGTGTTTTTTCCGTTTTTTTTTCTTCAACAAAAACAAAGAAACGCGTTTGGCAACCGGGGCGTTTTTTTGACTTGTCCCTTTGTAAAATCTAAAAATTAAACACTTTTCTTAAAACACCAAAAAGGTGTTTTAAGATTCCGTTTTTTCATCTAAGTTGTTCGTAAGTCCGCGTCCGCGGAATGCCCGTTGCTGCCGTTGCCAGCCGTGCCACCCCGTCGCCGCTGGCCGGGCCACCGCCGCGGCAGCCGGGGCCGTCTAGGGGTGGGCTCTATAAAAGAACGCACCCGACGACGCCAGACCTTACCGCTCCGTCCACCGTCCGGGCCGGCCACCAGCATCATGCCGCCGGGCAGCCGTCACTACGCTCGTCGTCGTCCGTCGTCGCGCCGGCGGCCGCGCAAGTTGGCCCGTCGCCGCGTCGTCAAGCGGGCGCCGCAGCCCTGGCCACCGCCACGGCGAGTCCGACGCGCAGAGCCCGGGCTTCGTAGCCTCTGGTCCAGCCGCCGCACGCCCTTGGTGTCCCGTGAACCGTCCCACAGCAGCTCAACCTTCACCCCCGCCACCAGGGGGGGCGTAGCAGTCGCCGCCGCCAGCGGCAGTGCGGCCCGTCGCTCCGCACGAGCCAGCCGTCAGCATAGGCCACCCGCCACCGGCACCCGGGGGAGTGCCGCCATCCGCTACGACCCTAGGCCGCGCTCGTCGGCCGCCGGCCGCGATGCGCGTCGGCGTCCGCCATTGGAGAAGGCGCCCACTCACCACCGTCGTCCGGCGCCGCCACCCTCGCACACCGACGCCACTGCCACCGGTCGCCCAGGCCCTGGCCGCTCGCGCTGCCTGTGCGCACGACCCTCCACTGGCCGTCGCACCGACCGGTCGTCGTCGCTCCGAGCCCGCTGGCAATCACACCGCCAACCCATCGGCCACACCCTCGCCCGCTGCCGGTCCGCTCGGTCGACGGCGATGCGATCCGTCGGCCACTTGCCGCTACCCGGTCGGCACCAGATACCGACAATCGTACGTTCACGAGGGTGAGGGCGGTAAGAGGAGGTGGCGACGGTGGTATGGGACAGATGGAGTCGCACGCCCGTGCGCAGCGGCCATACCGACAGCACTGTCCGCCATGCGCCCGCCGTGGCCCTGCGGGCCGCGGCCACTGTCGCTATATAAATGGTCAAACTAGTTTGACTAAAATGGTGTTTTCAAAACACATTTGAAAAAGAAACACCATGCCATGGTGTTTTTTACAAAAACACAACAAAAAACACATTGATTACCAAACATACCCTCAATAATTTCTTCATATTTGCCCACGTTCGAACCGGATCCTTTTCTTGATTGTATCGATTTATCAGTACTTTATCCCACCATGCAAATGTTTGGGGGAAAGTTGATGTCTTCATTGATTCATTCATTACAATTTCAGTCGTTACAATAAAAACAAAAAAAGATAGTCTTTTTATAAGACTCTTACACAATAAAAATAAAAATTATAACTTTCTTTTCAATAAACGCAACGGACGTTTATCCTCCGCTGCTTGCGTGGGATCTTGGCCTGTGACGGGGATGTTGATATCCGTGGACTACCAAACGATTAGATCAGATCCGGAGCTTCGTTGATTCGCGAAAAAAATTAAGAATTCGAAGCAATTATCTCGGCAACAACGAGATAATCACTCTTCTCGAGATCACCGCAACGAGGCAATCTCAAGGGAAGGAACCGGGAACTGTAGATCTGACGAGCTCCTCTTCTTTATGCTGACGAACTCGATCCGATCTCCTTCTCTCTTCTAAAATTCGTGCTCTTTTAGTTTTCAATTCAGCAGGGCTTTGTTGACGCTCGAGAATTCCAGATCTCAAAAAATAAAGGCCCTAAGGCTATATTTATAGGCTTTCGAACCACTGTTTTCGGTTAAAAATGATCGATTCACTCTTATCTTCAGTTGTAACCAATTAACCATGTTCTTGGATGATATTTTATCAGCTGAAACAAATCTAGATGGTTAACGGTCGAAAAACAGCTCAAAACATCCAAAAACAAGTTTTCGGGGCTGCGGACGCCCGCGGTGTCTCGGCTTTGGCGGGCCGAGACACTAAGGGGTGTCTTGGCCAAGCCGAGACACCTTTGGGTGTCTCGGCTTGTTTTGCCTCTAACTTTCTCATATGACCTCCAAATGAAATGATTCAAGATGCATTGGAAAGCAGACGAAGAGATCTACAACTTTTATCTTTTGAGATATACATATTTGAAGTAAATCATGGCCAAAATCTCTATTCTTCTCCAAGACACTAACACTGTCTCGGAATTTTGAGGCAGTTTATACTATCTTTGGTATTTTGGCTTTATCTCTCTCATACGATCTCAGAATGAGTTAATCCAAGATGGTATAGAAATCTAACAAGGAGTAGTACAATTTTCATCCTTTAAGCTTCTTCAGATTCAAAGCGAGACAGTCTCTACCAAGGCCGAGACACTTGGAGTGTCTCCGCTAAGGCCCGGGGTATTGTTTCGTGCGTCCCGTCCGTTTCCGTCGTATCTTTGTCGTCCGAACTCAGAATTGTACAATTCAAAGTACGAAGGAAAGCCAACGAGAAGATCTACAAGCTTCCATAGTTGAATCATATGTGGAGTAGATGGGACACGAGGGGCGCTTCGTCTTTCGTAAGCGAAGCGTAGCTCCCGATCAGTTATTCTGCAGTTCTGTTGCTTCACACGGTTCGTCGACTTACTTCATGCATTTATCGATATCAATTAAGCTTTTGTGATATGGATAAAGATGTTCATCATCTTCTCTCTGTCCCAAGATGTGTGCGGGAATTCATGGGTAATTTTTAACGCCTACAGATGCTCCCTCTAAAGTATTTCAATCTTGTTTCTTTTATAGAAGAGCCTGTAATATTTTGGATGTGATCGGTCCAACCTTCAGTCGGTATGAAAGGACCTGTAGTTAGCTTTGATTCTTGACTTCTTTGATTTTTAGTCTATTTTGATGAATACCTGAAGTTCTTCTGACTCTGCGATTATCGTCTGGCTGTTGTCGAAGTTTCGAATCAAACTTGGTAAGTTGGTTTTGGCTTGTGTCATTGAGTTGACTTTGAACTAATTATCACCATCGCAACATGTTGACCGGTGTTGACTTAGAGCTACACGTTGACTGGCATTGACTTTTCTTACAACGCGTTGACTGGCGTTAACCTAGGGCTACGCGTTGACCGGTGTTGACCTTAGGGTTTAGCTTCGATTTGCGTTGACTTTCATCGCAACGTGTTGACTGGCATTGACCGGGGTTGACATTAGAGTTACGCATCGATCGGTGTTGACTTTTATTGCAACGTGTTGATTAGCATTGACCTAGGGCCACGCGTTGACTGGTGTTGACCTTAGGGTTTCGCATCGATCGTCGTTGACACAGTTTATACTCGTACATTTGCTGA